GCAACGGGAGAGGCCACAGCAGTGAGAGGCCCGCGTACCGCAAAAAAAAAAAAAAAGAAAAAGTAGACAGCTCTTGAGGAGTTTGTTATAAACGGGTGATGAGATGTGGGGTGGCAGCCGGCAGAGCACGTAGGGAGACAAGAGGGGATATTTTTTTTAATGAGAGAAAAAACATTAACCTGTTTTGCTAATGGAAATGATCCAGAAGAGAGACGGAAGTTGATTGTATAGGAGAGGAGAGAATGGTTAGAAGAGCCTCCCTGAGTCTGTGAGCAGGGATGGAGGGATGGAGCGGCTGACATGGGGTGGGGGCCGGGAGCCCATCCGTGTAACTGGAGGGGAGGAAGCTGTGGGCATACAGACTGGGCAAGGAGCTAAGTGTGGTGGGCGTTCTTTTCCTATCGCTTCCATTTTCTCGGCAAGGTAGGAATCAAGGTTATTCGCTTAGAGTGAGGGAAGGGGTGAGGAGGCGTTGCGGGGTGCAAAAGAACGAGAGGTCATCTCGTGGAGTGAAGGGGCAGGTGCCCGGACTGGGGAAAATGCAGTGATTGCCGGGCAGCTCTGCAGGCCCACCACGTTTTTGGGGTCATAAAGTCAAAGTCAGAACAGTTAGCAGATTGGATGATTCTCTCCACAGCAGGGGCAGCTGGATTTGTACAGGGTTGTAATGGACCAAGTGAGCGCAGAGGACAGCAGCGGGCAGAGGCGCTAGAGCGTGTGCGGGGACCGCTCGTCCAGACTGACGGGGGCATTTAAGCCAAGTGAGGAGGAAAGAGGGGACAGCGGGCATGCAGAGGAGTGAAACATGGTGGGGGGATCAGTGGATCATAGGCCTGGTGGGTTCAAGGGATTATTGTTGTTGACAAACAAGTGAGAGTGAGCTGGAAAGTTGGGAAGTGGAGATCAGAGAGTGGGGTGCATGACACTGAGATGAGGCTTTGTTCGTCATTGTCGGCAGCCATAAGGCCCAGAGTGTGACCATGTGGGTGAGGGGCTTAGACAAGGGTGAGGACGAGACCACTGGGAGAGGGAAACCACAGGGTTTAGGGTCCAGGACATTGGAAAGCGCACGTGTCGAAATCATGAAGAGGGACTTCCCTGGTGGCGCAGTGGTTAAGAACCCCCCTGCCAATGCAGGAGACACGGGTTCGAGCCCTGGTCCGGGAAAAGCCCCCATGCCACGGAGCAACTAAGCCCGTGCGCCACAACTACTGAGCCTGCGCTCTAGAGCCCGCGAGCCACAACTACTGAGCCCACGTACCACAGCTACTGAAGCCCACGTGCATAGAACCCGTGCTCTGCAACAAGAGAAGCCACCGCAATGAGAAGCCTGCGCACCGCAACGAAGAGTAGCCCCCCCTCACCACAACTAGAGAAAGCCCACGCGCAGCAACGAAGACCCAATGCAGCCAAAATATAAAGAAATAAAGAAATTTAGACAAGGATGCTTTCATCAGTAAGTTGTATTATCATTAAAAAAAAAGAAAGAAATCATGAAGAGTTACGGCAGGAGTAGTGCTGGGGAAAGAACAGTGCATGAGGAGCTAAAGTCAAGAAATGAGCAGGGATGCTGGCAGGTACAGACAAGAGCCACAGCCAGGAAGAGAGGCTAGACTAGGGGCATCCACTCAAAGAGGGAGTTTGGGGGAGGTGGAAGGGAGGATGTTCTGGAGCTGCTGACAAGGAACAAGGAGGACCCTGCCCCACCCCCAAGCCCAGCAGTCAGCCCAGGAAGCAGTGTCTTCAGGGCTGAGCAGGTTTCAGCTGTGCAGGGTTTCTCAGCAGTGTTGTGGGACTGTGCTGTGCCTCGTAGACCGGTCGGCAGCAGCCCTGGCCTCTACGGTCTAGAAATATCACGCACGCACGCACATACCCCAGCTGTAACAATCAAAAATGTCTCAAATTTTGCCAAATGTCTCCTACCCCTGGTTGAAAACCACTGCTATATATAAACCACATTTTGGATTCTCAGCATTTCTGAGATTCATTGTCCAGAGACTTCTTAAATCCTAAGAGCCTACCTATATAAATTCAGGTGAAAACTTTGCCAAGACTCCTGTTTGTAATAGAGGTTACAGAAAGCATTGTCTAACGCATGAGGCAGAGCATCCTTTATTATTTTTAATTGGCATAATATAATGCTATTCTAATTTTAAAAGCATTGTGAAATACTACATTTAGGAGATTTTCCTTCCTGCATTATACAAAATCTGTATTTTATAAAAGCAAAAATTAGAAATGGATAAGAAACCTAAAAGTTAAAACTAAATTTTTTTCCTAAAGAAAAACAAAGTGGAATATCTACTCTAATATAGCAGAATAACTTCATTACTTGGAGTAGGCAAAGATTTCTTAGCTAAGACCCAGAATACATTAACCATAAAGGAAAAAAATAATAATAAAGTTGACCAGATCAAAATTAAATACTTCAGGGGCTTCCCTGGTGGTGCAGTGGTTGAGAGTCCGACGAAATTGAGCTATTTGTAATGAGGTGGATAGATCTAGAGTCTGTCATACAGAGTGAAGTAAGTCAGAAAGAGAAGGACAAATACCGTATGCTAACACATATATATGGAATTTAAGAAAAAAAAATGTTATGAAGAACCTAGGGGTAAAACAGGAATAAAGACAGAGACCTACTGGAGAACAGACTTGAGGATATGGGGAGGGGGAAGGGTGAGGTGTGTTAGGGCGAGAGAGAGACATGGACATATATATACTAACAAACGTAAGGTAGATAGCCAGTGGGAAGCAGCCGCATGGCACAGGGAAACCGGCTCGGTTCTTTGTGGCTGTCTGGAGGGGTGGGATAGGGAGGGTGGGAGGGAGGGAGACAAAGAGGGAAGAGATATGGGAACGTATATATATGTATAACTGACTCACTCTGTTATAAAGCAGAAACTAACACACCATTGTAAAGCAATTATACCCCAATAAAGATGTTAAAAAAAATAATAATAATAATAATAATCTAAAAAAAAAAAAAAGAAAAGAAAATATTTATGGTGCATATACCTGACAATTTCTTACATAAATAAAAAACTTACGCCCGAATAACAAGATAAACAAAACAAAGAAGTTTGATCAGTCACGTCATAAATGGAGATTTACAGCTGACCAGTAAACAGCTGAGAAGGCTCTGTGTGAGCTGAGTCCTCAGGGAGATGCAAATTGCAGCCACAGTGATGGACCTCTCTGCACGTGGCCAGTAGAATCCACACGTCTAGGACAGACCACTCCGGATGCAGCTGCAGGTGGAAAGTGGTACTAACACTTTGGAAATCAGTCTGGCGGTTTCTCATGAAGCTACATATGTGTCTACCCTAAGACCCAGCCATTCCTCTCCTAGGTGTCGGCCCAAGAAAAAGAAGACACATCCACTTGTGTGGATGACTTGTACAAGAATGGCAGCTTTAACCATAATGGTCCCAAACCAGAAACACCCCAAATGTGAAGTGTTCAGCGACAGGAGAACGGAAATCACATGTGTACATTCATGGGACAGAATTCTGCTCAGCAGTAAAAAGGAACAAGCTTTCGATACACTCAACAGCCTGTATGAACCTCAGACACATTATAAATGTTGGGCAAAAGAAGCCCGACCAGAATAGTACACACTGTATGATTCCATTTATATGGAATTTTAGAACAGGAAAAACTGACCTATTGTGAAAGAACTCAGAACAGTGCTTTCCTCTGAGACAGGACTGCAGGACTGACTGGGAGGCATCACAAGGGATTTTTCCAGAGTAATAACAATGCTCTACATCTTGATAGAGATGTGGGTTACACGGGTATATACATTTACTAACTCATCGATCTGTATACTGGAGATCGGGGCACTTCACTGTGTTAAATTAAACTCAAATTTTTTTTAAGTAATTTTTTTTTTTTTTCGGTACGCGGGCCTCTCACTGTTGTGGCCCCTCCCGTTGCGGAGCACAGGCTCCGGACGCGCAGGCCCAGCGGCCATAGCTCACGGGCCCAGCCGCTCCGCGGAATGTGGGATCCTCCCGGCCCGGGTCACGAACCCGTGTCCCCTGCATCGGCAGGCGGACTCTCAACCACTGCGCCACCAGGGAAGCCCTAAAGTAATTTTTATAAATATACTGGCATTCCTCAGGCTCTCCTGCTGATCTCTTTTTACATTGAGGAACAGTTTAGCCCAACTTTATTTATTTATTTATTTATTTTTTGCGATATGTGGGCCTCCCACTGTCGTGGCCCCTCCCGTTGCCGGACACGCAAGCTCAGCGGCCATGGCTCACGGGCCCAGCCGCTGCGCGGCTCACGGGCCTAGCCGCTACGCGGCACGTGGGATCCTCCCAGACCGGGGCACGAACCCGCATCCCCTGCACCGGCAGGCGGACTCCCAACCACTGCGCCACCAGGGAGGCCCCCCAACTTTATTTTTAAGAGCTAAAAACACTATGGTGTTTAACCCAGCGTTAGGTTTGGCGGAGCAGGGGTGCTGAGGGGCACGGCAGGGGAAGTGGGGGCGGGGGGAGCCGCACTAAAAGGAAGAGTTCCTGGAAAAAAATTATATCAAAGCTGAGACTGGGAAGGTGAGTTGGTTAGCTGTGTACAGAAGCATGGAAGAATATCCAAGAAGAGAAAACAGCATGTGGAAATGCCCAGAGACAGGACAGTGTGGCCGAAGTGTCAGTTAGACGGGAGGAGGGCGGCTGAGGTGCCATGGGGAGAACTGCCACGGCTTGGGGTGCAACACCACTGCCTCTCCCTCAGGAGCGGTGGGAGAAGAGAACTCAGATGCAATAACAAATCATTTTCATGTGAAAACCCTTTGCAAACGGACAGCGTAATACATGTGAAATCATATCTATGGTAGTGGCTTGATTTTGATCGTGTACAACAAAAAGACTGGTGGAATACTTGAACTGGTAAGAACCTTTGTAGAGTTTAGATGTTGTTTGCAAACAGTATTTCTTTGGGTCTGATTTTTGGTGATACAGCTTTGACCTATTTTTTCTTGGTTTCAGGGTTCAAAAAGGATTCTTCGCTCCAACGAGATCATCCTTCCAGCCAGTGGATTGGTGGAAACAGAGCTCCAGTTAACCTTCTCCCTCCAGGTGAGAACCTGCTCAGTCTTAGGTCATTAATATGCCATGTCCAGCCCAATCCCGAGCAGTCCTCTAATCTGGAGACTGTTTTATCCGAGAACAGCCATAGCCCAATGATTTAAAGTCACCTAGAGCTTCTGTGGCCAGCCTGGAGGACCAGAGCAATCACCCAGACAGCCACAGCAAGGGCACCGAGACCCAGATGGGCTGCTGAAAAGTACACCACAAATAGTTCTTTCTTTTTTTTTTTTTTTAATTGCAGTATAGTTGATTTAAAATGTTGTGTCGAGCTGCTGCATAGCACAAGGAGATCAGCTCAATGCTTTGTGATGACCTAGAGGGGTGGGATAGGGAGGGTGGGAGGGAGGCTCAAGAGGGAGGGGATATGGGGATATATGTATACGTATAGCTGATTTACTTTGTTGTACAGCAGAAACTAACACAACATTGTAAAGCATTTATACTCCAATAAAGATGTGAAGTAAATAAATGAATGAAAAGCACTAAAAAATAAAATAAAATGTGTTAATTTCTCCTGTACAGCAAAATGATTCAGTTGTACATATACATATGTGTGTGTGTATACATTCTTTTTCGTATTCTTTTCCATCGCGGTTTATCACAGGCTATTGAATATATAGTTCCCTGTGCTCTACAGTGGGACCTTGTTGTTTATCCATCCTGTACGTAATGCTTTGCCTCTCATTCTTCTTCCCCTTTTCCTCAGACAGAGCTGTTAACCCCACCATCGCACCACACTCGGCCCCATCTCCTCTCCTTAGTAATCCACGCCATGCCCCCCAGCAGAGGCAGATGCTACAGTCTTGTTTTGCCCGCATACTGCGACCTCCGTCCCTTCCCTTCTCCTCCTTATCTGTCCCAGTCTGTCTGTCTCTCCGCCTAACGCCAGTACCCCAGGTTGCAGTGCACGGACACCTGATTATCTGGCAAGGGAGGAGGCTGTTCTCTGAGCGTGTGTGGACCACCCCGCTGCGGAGTGGAAACCAGGCGCTCCCCTCGCCCCTATCCCCCCCTCGTGCAGCTGGGAGCCAGTGAAGCACAGGAAGGTGGCACGTCCTCTCGCAGCACCAAGACCCACCGAGGACCCAGTTGCTGATTAACTGTGCTCGGCTCTGTTTTGTGCTCGGCAGTACCCTCATTTTTTGAAGCGAGATGCCAACAAGCTGCAGATCATGTTGCAGAGGAGAAAGCGTTACAAGAACCGGACCATCCTGGGCTATAAGACCCTGGCCGTGGGGCTCATCAACATGGCAGAGGTGAGAGAGGGCGGCCTCTGGACAGTCAGCCTTTCAGAGCCTACGAGAGACACCGGCCCAGCCAGTGATTTTCCCAGCCTGCTGTTTGGGTCTTTTATTCTGTGTTACAAATTAATTCTTTTATTGGAAATTCAGGACGCACTTCTTTTTATCGAGAACTTTCTCCCTCATGAAAAGTTTTTTCTTTAACCTTTAAAAAAATGTCAAACTTAGAGAAAAGTTGTAAGAATAGTATAAAGAACTCCCATCTACCCTTCACCCAGATTCTTCAGTGTTAACACAGCTGCCTTATTATTCTCTCCTACATACACGTTATGCATGTTGTTTTCTTTTCTGAACCACCGAAAGTAAGCTGGTGCCCCATCACACATAGTTAATACGCACTGTGTCTACCATGAAGATCAGGACATTAGCACCGACATAGAGTTGCCATCTAACCCGCAGTCCCCACCCAGGTCATGCCAAGCGACTCGGGGATGTCCTCTGCAGGCCCAGGGTTTCATCTGGGATTAGGGCTGCACTTAGCTCTTGTCTCATTAGTCTCCCTCGACCTGCAGTCCCTTGGATTTTGTCTTTCATGCCCTTGACATTTTTTAAGAGTACAGGCTCTTTATTGAATGTGCCTCAGTTCAGATTTGTCTGATGTTTTCTGAAGATTTACATTCAGCTTCTGCGTTTTTGGCAGGATTACCGCAAGCAGTAATGCAGGAAGCACTCTGTGTTGATTTGTTCCGTTACTGGTGAGGCTAACTCTTATCGCTTGGTTAATTTAAGATGGTGTGTGCCAGGATTTCCAGTATAAAGTTATTAATAACACATTTTGTTCTTACCAATGAAAAAAAAACATTTTATAGGGAAGAGATATTTTGAGACTATATAACAGTCTCTTATCCCCTCATATCTTCACCAAGTAGTTTTAGCCTCTATTAACGATTCTTGCCGGAATCAGTCATTACTTTGACGTTTGCCAGGCAGTGAATTTCCAATCCCACCATTCCTTCTCTATTAATTAGTTGGCCATCTGCTGTAAGATACAGCTTTCCCTTCTTCCCCATTTACTGATTGATTCATTTCTTTGTATCAGTTATGGATCTGTGGATTCCTGTTTAATTCAGTGGGGTTTAGTCTGCTACTATCATTATTTATTTTGATGCTCAAATTATCTCGAATTTGGCCAGTAAGAGCCCCTTCAAGCTGATTCCTATATCCTTTTTTATATGCCTCATCGTTCTTTACATGCTTCTTTACTTTCTGGTACAAAATATTACAGGCTCATCATGTACTTTCCCTGACCCAGCCTCAGAATGAACTGATCCTCCAAAGAGCCCTGGTTCCTTTTAGTGGAGAATGGTATTTAGAAACCAAGATCTGGATGCTAGAGGTGCTCGTTTTCCCAACTGGAGTATCATTGCTTTCTCCTCCCTCTCAGCAGACGGAGCTAGGAAATACATGTATACATATGCATATGCACGTGTATATACATACACATATCTATTTCCACATCTGTATCTATCTGATCATGAGCTCACATTCCAGTCAGTTCCAATCAGCACCTTTGGGGGTTCCTCTAGCCTTTCTCCTTTTCGTGTTTTTAATTCCCTTCTCAGTATGTTTGCTCATTTGTGCGGCTTCCCTGTATGCCTGGTGAATCTTCTCAGCCCTGACCAAGGGGAAGAGGAAAGGGGCCACAAATCAATTTTAAATGTATTTCAGAACATTAAGTAAGAAAAATTTTGTGGCCATAGTAAAAGGTGAGATAGTCCCAGCCCATCTTTCTGTCCTCTTCACGTTTTGTATCAGAAAGAGGGCCTGGGGGGAGTGAAGTATGTGGATGGCACGTTTTGCCAGCTGTGTCAAGCCCTTACTGCCAGGCACAGGTGGCCTGGTACAGGTGGCCACGGTCTGCAGGCCGGCCTCACACAGCCTTGAGAGCTAGTTTCTCTGTGAAAGGCATAAACTAAAATGCAGTCCTAGAGATTAGCAGTCATTTTCCATCTCAGGCCTTGATTTTTATCTCTAAGCACGTGGCCTGACCCGTGGCTGACACTTCTGGAGGTAGTTTTAAAGTGAGACCGGGGACTTCCCTGGCGTTCCGGTGGTTGGGACTCCGCGCTTTCACTGCGTGGGCCCTGGTTCAGTTCCTGGTGGGGGAACTACGATCTCACAAGCCGCGTGGCACGGCCAAAAAGGAAGGAAAAAAAAAAAAAGAAAGGTAAAGTGAGACTGGCAATAGGAGAACGGTAGGCATGAATCTGGAAGACAGTGAAAAAGAAAATGTGTTAGCGGAACGCCGCTCCCAGTGGCTCGCCTGTCCGTTGGGATTTGTGAAAACGGGCTGCTGTGCGGCACTGTCCTTAGTGAGATGTGTCCGTGGCCACCCCGTGCTCGTAGGTGATGCAGCACCCGAACGAAGGCGCCCTGGTACTCGGCCTGCACAGCAACGTGAAGGATGTCTCCGTGCCGGTGGCAGAAATAAAGATCTACTCCCTGTCCAGCCAGCCCATCGACCATGAAGGGATCAAATCCAAGCTGTCTGGTAGGACGTGTGCGGTGCTGGGAAGCCCTCCCCCGTCACCTGGACTCCATCCCAGGAGAGCCTAACACGCTCCTAGGAGAGAGGAGCTTAGAGCTCCCTGGAAATGACAGGGGGTCGGGGCCCTCTCCTCCACCCCCGCCGCGTTTTCACTTGAGAGCATGATTCCAGCCAGCCAAAGCCTCTTAGACCCGGTCTTCCCCCTGCGAGGTCATCTTATTAAGGTGTCTGTTCCCAGACCGCTCTCCTGATATTGACAATTATTCTGAGGAAGAGGAGGAGAGTTTCTCATCAGAACAGGAAGGCAGTGATGACCCACTACACGGGCAGGTAACTTTCCACAGCCCCTCAGTCAAGCGGCCGAGAAGCACTTACAGACTCTCCTAGGGGCTTCCCAACCTCATTCCATCCCCCTACCCACTTAGGACCTGTTCTATGAAGATGAGGATCTCCGGAAAGTAAAGAAGACCAGGAGGAAGCTAACCTCAACGTCTGCCATCACAAGGGTGAGCCTCCAAGGTCCGGGGAATGTTTTAGCAGAGATTTTTCCATCCGGGGGTAGGATGGGAGTGGTGTATTCAGACTTCCTGGGGGGCTTTTTAACACCTGCACAGGGCCACGCCCTCAAGGCTGTGATACACCCCTCGGTGCCTCCACCTCCACCACCAGCTAATTAAGCATCACTGTTGCAGAGAACCAGCATTCCTGATAGGAGCGTGTTATATTCTTCAGGTTATCTTAGGATAGAAGAAAGGTTGAGAAACCTTGTTGTAGACTTTGAAACAGATGCTTCCTTGGGGAGCAGAACCCCTCAGACACCCTCCCTCCCTTCTCCAGGTGATTACTTCGGGTTTCCTACCGTCCACCGCATAGATAAGTCCAGTCCTCTCTAGGAGCATCTCCGTTTGGAATCATTTGTTGAACTTACCCAGAAATAGTAGGCTAGTGCTTGGAACTGTGGGCTTGATACAGTGCCTGCCTTAATGGATCCAGAACGTTAGAGACCAGAGGCCTTTAGATTGTGTCTCCTGCACACGATCTCCTCAGGAGTCACTACTTTGGGTGAAATTAGAGTCCTGGACTGAGATGCTTAATACCTGAATTTCTAGGTTAACTTTGACCTCTCCTGGGGTTCCCGTGCCAGGGGGAGTCAGAAGTGCCAGGAGCTTTTTGGAAGAGAAGTTCACAGTTTCATGTGTCCCCAGAGGCATCCTGATTCTCTCTAGCGCAGAGCAGCCCAGGGACCCCAAGAGCAGAGATTCCCGTCACCTTCAGGAGTGAAATAAGTGGAGGCCAGACCTTCCGAACATGTTGTATCTGAGCCTGGTCCACCGTGAAACACGCTGTCCTCCCTCCACGCACCCTTGGGTATCCCTGGGCTTCAACGTATAATAAATCCTCAAGGCTGAGGCCTTGATTTCCCCCACCGGATGATGACTAGAGCGCGTTTGAACTGTTTCATCGTCCTCAGGCTTCTAATCCTCGATAGGCGCTCCTAGGCCGGGTAAGGCCCATCCTGGCCTCCAACCCACCCTGTGCTCTGATGATGACAGAGGCTGGAGGTCGCTCTCTGTTGTGGCTCCTCCTGCTAAGTTTTTCTTTTTCCTGTGCTGTAACCACAAAGAGGCCCCGTTTTCTTCCCAGAGGTGCCCCCTGGAGCTATATAAATCGCCTCTTCCTGTGGTCGCCTCCGTAGCTTCACCGGTTATACAACCAGAGCTCAGTGCTCCTTTGACACCCACTCCCCGAAAGGTGTTTTTATTTTTTGTGTTAACTGCAGGCACTTTCCAGTCAGATTTCCAGAGTAATTGTCCTTTCACTCCTGCCTCCCGTGCACACGAATCCTTCTCTCCCTACCAAGAGCACTTTGTCCTAGATGTGTTAATTGACTCGGCGTTCTCTGAAGCGTCTTCTGCGTCTCGGTCGCTGTGGCTCTCGTTCCTCCTCTGCTGTGGGTGCCCTTCCATCTTGGGGAGCCCAGCCCTTTCTTGAAGGCCCAGCTCAGTCTCACCCACGAGTTAGTCTCCCCCATCCCCAGGCGGTGAGTCTGTCATCCAGTCAGGAGGTGCTGAGGGCCACAAGCTAGTCGCCGTGCCTGGGGTTGGACATACAGAGATAAGGAAGGCCCGGTCCATGCCGTCAGGGAGCTCACAGTGTCCAGTGACACAGACACATCTACACAGTGACCGTAACCCCATAGGGCAGGCGTCAGACGAGCTCTGTGTTAGGGGCAGCGATGGCCCTAAGGGGAAAGTGACCGGCTCTGAGCAGGACAGCTTCGCGGGCAAGATGCCAGGAGATGGGTTTTCTAAGAGTAAATAGAACATCGCCAAGTAGATCTGGGGACATGTTTAGTCAAGGCAGAAGTTACCATGTAAATGGCCCAGAGGGGTGCCAAGTCGTAAGCAGTTAGTTCCCACCTAAGTGGGGTGTGAGGAGTTGGGTGGTGGGTGAGGCCAGGGTCAGGCAGAGCCAGCCTTCAGCAGACACAGGGTGACACCGAAGTTCTTGAGGCTCTGGGGCCAGTGAAGGCCTTTCATCTGGGGAGTGACGAGGTGAGATCTGCGTGTGGAACAGTCGCAGTGGACTCTGGAGGGAATGAGACTGGAAGTGGGGTGGGAGGAGCTAGTTGAGGGCGGTTGGTGGCCCCAGAGAGGGGCGAGGAAGGAGGCCGGACGGAAGCGGTGCGGTTTCAGGTGGACAAGAGGGTAGGAGTCAGCACCCCTGGGCTGGGGGTCGGGGGAGACTCCGGGTTCCGATTCGGTGAGTCCTCGGTGCCTGGGTGACCAGGAGGGGGAGTGCACAGCGCAGAGGGTGAGCTCCGTTTTGGAAACCTCGAGTTTGAGGAACCTGTGTGTATACAGGTGGCTCTCACCGTGGTTCTGAAGTTCTAGAGAAAGGGATGAGCGGGAGGTGACCATGGGCAGTTACTGGGCTGGGGGCGTGGCCCCGGTTCTTCACCAAAGCCGGCCCTCGATCACTCTGCTGACTGGGCTGCTGGCTGAGGACTACTGTGGCTTTGTCCCTACAGCAACCTAACATCAAACAGAAGTTTGTGGCCCTCCTGAAGCGGTTTAAAGTTTCAGACGAGGTACGACCCCTTACTCCCAAGCTGGATGGTGAGTAGAATTCCCAGAGTTTCACCCTCGTTCCTCAGGCACAATCTGGAGTCAAGATTCCAGGAACCCCACGTGAGGGGGTAGCTAAAGGCGGGCTTTCCGCTACTTGAAAAGAGAAGGAAAGATTTACATGTAGCACCCAAGGTTCCATGGTATTCGAAGCAGGGGCACATGCTTCTGCCCAGCTTTCAGGTGTGGGGTGTCCAGCACAGATCCAGTTGCTGTTGTTCAGTTTTTCCTCCTGCCCCGCGGGGAACGGTGGGAGCCTCCTCCGTGGCGTCAGGAACTGGCCGCTGAGAGAAGCAGTGCCTTCCCCGGGCTCTGGCAGGCCTGGAGCCAGTTTTCATGGGCTCTCTTCTCCGTGGACTGAGACAGGGATGGAGATTTGTCCCCTGCGGGCTCTAGGGGAGGCCGGCATGAGCCGCCAGGGCCCCAGGCGCTGGGTTTCCCTGCACCCGCTCCCCGGGAGAGGCACCGTCTGGGCCCCACTCTTCTTCCTGACGCCGGGCACCAGTGGCGAGCACTCGGGAGGCTCTGAGCGGGGACGGTGGCCTCACCACGTCCCTGCTCTCAGGATCAAATCACAGGAAGCACGCCAAGACCACCCTGATGAGCGTGAAACTATGGCACGTCCCTTACGGGGACTGGGTAGGGAAGCCAGTGGGGCCTGCCCAGGAGGAAGGAGTTTCCCGTCTGCCATGTTGTTAATAGGGGTAACCCCAGACTCCAAGGTTTTGTTTTCTCCCACAGGTGGGCTTTGGGCTGGAACACGTATCCCGAGAACAGATACGAGAAGTGGAAGAAGACTTGGACGAGCTGTATGACAGTCTGGAGATGTACAATCCCAGCGACAGTGGTCCCGAGATGGAGGAGACAGAGAGCATCCTTAGCACGCCAAAGCCCAAGCTCAAGTGAGGCCCGCACCCCCTCTGTCACACTGTCTCTCTAGGCCATGGCAGTCTCCTAGACTCCCCTCCCTCACCCCCCCGCCACCATTACCCGGGAATCTCGGTTCCTCACCCCTTCTGAACTGCCTGCCATCTGGATAAAGCTCGCTGCTTTAGCCTCTAACCGACAAAAGCCCCGATAGGATTCCCCTGAAGTCCTTCGGTCCAGGTCCCTACTGGTCCAGCCTCTGCTGTGTCCTTCCTCGCCGGCATCCTCGAAGCCCGGGCTGTCGATCTTTCCTGAACACCAGCTCTGCCCGGCTGTCCGTGAGCTGCTGTTCTGGGCCCTGGCGGCCACTGACCCTGGCTGTGCTTCTTTGCCACAGGCCCTTCTTTGAGGGGATGTCGCAGTCCAGCTCACAGACGGAGATTGGCAGCCTCAACAGCAAGGGCAGCCTCGGCAAAGACACCACCAGCCCTGTGAGCAAGACCAATGGCTGTGGGGTGCGGGAGTGGGACCAGGGGAGAGTCAGGGCTTAACACTGGGCCCTGTGCTCCTGGCTCATTTGGGACCTACGGGCCATCTCATCTTGTTTCAGCCTCAGTTGTCATCTCAGTCCTGCTGGGCTCTTAGTGCTCTGACGATATTGCTGTGGCCAGGCGGGTGTTCTTTGTGGTCTGTTCCCGCCATGACCTGGCGCCTTCCCTCCCGGAACACGCAGTGCCTCAAGACCTCTCCCTCAACGCCCGTCATGCGGTAGCTGGGAGTGTGGCACCCGGCCAGTGGTGGCGATTCTGCATCCAGGCTGGGGAGAGGGCGGATGCAAAGGGGCAGGAAGGCCCCAAGGTCTGTTCAGGAGAAATTACATGGGCTTTATTCAGAAAGTGGGCAGTGCCCTCGAAGAATTTAGAACTCAGTGGGCTGGTTTCCATTTTGCCTGGCGAGCCAGAGGGGAAAGGAGCTGTCTACTGCAGCACCCCAGAGCCCCGCAGCACCCCAGGACCACGCTCTGTCCCTATTTGGGAAGGCTCTCCCCAGCAGTGGATCAGGGGCAGAGGCCCGGGTTGATGCTGTACCCGCCTTGGGCCCTAGGAAGCTGCCCTCCCCCTTGTTTATGACCAAAGGCAGGATGACGTGCCTGATTTTAGTGGTTTTCGGTTTGCTTTGAAAGCCCAGTGTCTTCTCTGTAGATCAAAAAAACTGAATCCTTTAAGTCCTCCTGCCCTTGCCGCTTTAACAGAGGGAATATAAAACTCACCCTGCGCGTAGGTATTAATTGTGAGGAAATGACCTGAGGCCTGTGAGGCTCTCCATCCCCTGAAAAGCGCTGTCTATGGAAGGCCTGCCACCCGTCCCAGGTGTCTGCGGACCGTCAGCTCATGGACTGCCTGCTGCCACCAGGTGGCGCTGTCGTCCACGTAATCCCTCTCCCTGCTGAGGGCGCAGCAGGGTGATCCGGCCCTAGAACAGCGGCACCACGTGGCCTTAGCGAGTAAATGTGGGATGGGAAATGGCAACCCCCACCGAGAATCCCTCCACAGAGAAACCTCAGGCCCGCCACTTGCAGGCCGGGCACTCTCAGCCTTTCCAGCCCAGGTTCATATGATCTGGGGCTGAGGAGGCCTTACCTGACTAGTTCTGCTCAGGATGTGGCTTGGGGCTGCTCGTTCTCACAGGGGGCTGCTGGATGGCCCTGCTGAAGCATCCCTGTCCACGTGGACAGATCATTGGTCCCTGGAGCCAGATTCCATAGCAAGTATAAATATAAGGGATGACTCTTCTAGAGAGAAACCTGGGACCTGGCCAGGGGAGGACTGTCTTACGGTGTCCTAGGAATGCAGAACAAGGGCCCTACTGTAACACAATGCAATCAAATTTTAAATGAGATTAACGCCCCAGAAATGCTAAGCGTGACACCTAACATATGGTGACCGCTCAATAAATTTTAGGGATCATCGTTACTAAATCAGTAAGAGAAACTACTCTCTACTAATGAAGCTGTTTCTGGGTTGATAGAATTTGTAGGTTCTGCATTTAGTCTCAGCTGCATGGCTTACAAAATTTAAAGAGAAAAATCACCTTGATGCTCTGGGCCTCAGGTGCCTTATTTGTGAAGTAAAGGTGTTGGCCCAGGAGCCCAGTTAGCTCAAAAGTAAATGGAGTATCAGTCTTTACAGTGTGATGGCCTAAGGATCCCTGTTCAGGCCAGACATTTCTTTGGGGCAGGGTAGGGCTGGTTTGAGAGCACACGCTCTGGAGTCAGACTTCTGGGTTTGAATCTTGACTCCATCACTCCACTGACTGTGTGATCTGGGCAGTTACCCAGACTTCGTGTCCTCATCTACAAATTGCATGTAAAAAGGACACGCCTTACAAGGCAGTGTGAAGATCCAGTGCAAAAATGCAGCTAAAGCCTCCAGCATGGCGCTTGATTGGAGGTTGGATTGATTTACGGCATGGGGAGCATCAGTAAATGGAAGCTGCTTTGCCATTGTTACTATAGACCCTGAGAGCCATTCCAGTTCTGGACTCCTGAAACTGATAGACTCTGGATGTCTTTTTAGTGAGTTCTTCAAATTCTGGTTCCCTGGGCCAGATTTCAGACTTTGCTGGTTCTCTGTGATATTTCTATTTTGAAGAGCCCCATATGTCTTGATGTGGGTGTGGAACTTTGGCATCCTTCAGTATGAAAGACACTTTGGAAACTACAGAGCGAGGCTGTGCTCTTACACAGAGAACTTCTAAACGTATTAGGGAGAACATACGGGGAGGGTGCATCCATAGGCAGGCCTGCACATGCCGCCCAGCTTTTGTCCTCTCTTCCCTGATTTCCTAGCATTGTTATTCATTTATTTTTCTTAACCTTCCTTTTTGTTCCCCAAATTTCAGAGGATTCAGTTTTATCACTAGAACCAGAAGGAGTTTCTGCTGATACAAATTATTACAGCTGTTGAGTTTTCCCAAGACTTGAGCACACAGTAGCAACATAATTTTGTTCTTGGAGCTGATAACAGTAGGCCCCGACAGCGCTTCAGCTGGGGCGGCCAAGAGATGGAGACTTTCCGCCAGGACTGCCTGCTGTTAAAAGTTGCTAATTCCACAGCACTGTAACTAATGGTGCTAGGTACTTCGTAAAATTGAGAGCCTAAAGCGCCACCGCACTCTGCCCGCTCCACGTGCGTGCAGACGCACGTGCGCACGCACACACACACAAGCACGTGCACCCCCTGCAGCAGCAGCCAGCGTCGCCCCCAGGCACAGCGCCTTGCACTGCCACATCTGCCTCAGAGCCACACAGTTAGGCAACACAGCTACTGCACTGCTGGGGTGAGAAAAGCCTAAAATATTTATAGAAGCAGGAAGAAGAACTGGGAGAATCGGGAGTTTGCTCCCGGTGGGACTGACTGAAACATCCAGAAGAGTCAGTGCACAGCCCGCAGGTGCCCCACCCCGAGACCACCTTAGAGCGCTCAGCACATCTCAGCGTAGCGCTGTGCCTTGAAACACTGCTCTACTGTCGGAGGGCTGGACCACAGGGCTGCTGTCTGAGAGCCTTCCAGTAGGATGGTGTTATCGCCCCGGTTCCTTCTCTTTAAAACGTGTTTAATTCATTTGTCATGCTGAGATCCCAAACTGAGTGAAACCATCTTCAGTCTTAAGTCTGATGAAGAGTTCTTTGGGAGTGTGGACTCTGTTATCATCGGTTATTCATACAGACAATGTGTAAATGAGCTAGCGGTGCAATCTGGAGGCAACCTGCTGTGCGTGGCTCTGAGCAAAGCGTCTCCCCCTCAGGGGTCACAGGGTCTGGATAAAGTGTGTTAGGTTAGTTTTGCAGACGGCTCGGAGCAGTGGTCCTCAACCAAGGGTGATTTTGCCTCCCAAGGGACATTTGGCGAGGACTAGAGACATTTTGGGTTCTCACAGCGGGGGTGATAGGGGATAAGGGGCTGCTCCTGGCATCTAGTGGGTGGAGGCAGGGATGCAGCTCAAATCCTGCACAAGATGCCCCTGAGCAAAGAAAGACCCGCCCCAGATGTCGGCGGTGCCCACGTGGAGAAACCCTGGTTTAGCGTATGACATGGGCCTACTTTTGTGGTCCTTGTTCATTAGTTTGCTGAGTGGCCCCTTGAGCTTATTAGGCCATTTCTCTGTACTCTGTTATTTACTCAGAGAAAAGGCTTTGGGTCATTGGGAGGAGGTGGGATATCCTTGATCCTTTCTGATTCCCTGGTTCCCCACAAGAACCAGAGATCCACTGAGGCCAGGACCTTCCCCATAGCTAAGAGCCACAATCCGCAACTGCTTATGATTTTGACATTGGTGTCTGCACAGCCAGAAACAGCATTAGCAAGTGTGAAAAATCTGGTTATGTATCTGTATTTGCAAAGTACATTTTTAATATTTATGAGAAATGCTAATAAAAGTTGGGGACAAAGGGAGAATTATTTCACACCTAAATGGCTTAGTATATTCTGTTTGAGGGTTTTCCAGATGTTTCTGCCAAGCAAAAAGCATTTGGCTACCATGGATGTCTTTAGTCTCGAAATCAAAGACGTGAACTCTGAGATTCCCCTTTCTTCTTAGCAACTCTGACAGCAGAAGAGGCCCTGTGTGCCCCTCCTGGGCAAGGGTGTTTACCGAATCCAGGGTTAAGACTGACAGATCCCACAGCCATGCCATCTGAACGTTGAGCTTCTCTTTCCTGGTGACATCTTGTGAGAGTCAGAATTTCTGGGTTCCGCATCTTGCTGTGTTATTAATTTAATGATCGCAAAATAACTGACCTTTCCAAAGCTCAGTTTTCACAAAAATATGCTCCTAGTAAGATGAAAGTCCCAAAGATTTTATGAGGTCTTCAGATTAAGTGAAAGTATTTTAAGCTTCCAAGGGACCTAGAAAACAGGTTAGAGTGGTGGTTATTTGGATTGATGATGACTAATTATTATAATTTTTGCAGATGGAATTGGCTGCTTTAGAAAAAGTCAAATCTGCTTGGATTAAAAATCAAGATGACAGCTTGACTGAAACAGACACTCTGGTATGTATGGTTCGGGCTCCTGTTTCAGCTGTTTAAAATAGTCTTTGGTACCTTTAGAAACAAAGGCAAAAAGATCCTGATGACCACCCTGAAACTTTGGCTTGACTCTGTGGACTTGTGAATGTCCTGCGTGCCCTTCCTCCCAGAATCCTTACCCGTGGAGTATAATGCTGTTCCCCAAACTAGCAAACTAGAAATGTCCCCATTCTGCCCTTTAGTTAGATCTGATCAAGTGCTAATTCAGATCATTTCTCACTATCTGTCACCCTCATTTACTTCTCAGATACGATGACCAGTATCTTCCCCCGAAAAACCATCCCTTCCTCCAGGTTGCTTTTACAATGGCCAGACAGCCCACAGCATTAAGTCTCCAAGTGATTACTAGTCAGCTCCTTCCGCTAAGAGATGTTGGAGCTGCTCAGGGGCGCATGGGATGGATCAGCTGGGGTGCCCAATTTAATTACACACAGGCTGAAATTCCACACACATACACGTGTTGAGCACTGAAGGTGCAAAAATGAGAACACCATGGATCCACCTCCGGGAGGAAAGCCGGCCGGGGCACACCTGGCGCAGAGGCTCTGTGGGGCCCGGGAAGGACAGAGCCATTCACCTGGGGGGAGGGCGTCTGAGCTGGGCCCGCAGGTTCTGCCACAGTTCAGCCGGTGGGACTGGAGGCCGGGCCCAGCAGATGGGAGGGAACAGAGAACTTGACCGAATACCATCTGGGGGTGTGCTGCACATCCGCCTTACGGTGGGAGCTGCTAGCTGAATGGAGTCCGAGGAGGAATTGTTTCAGGCTTATGTTTCCTATAGTAAATAATGCTGCTTTAAGGATCTGGTGTCTGACAAAGCCTTAGGTTGGATTCGACATTACTGTAGTTCACCCGTAATCCGAGTAACCCATCTTCCACTTTGGCCCATACTGCACAGCGGTCGTTTCAAAATGAAGTTCCAGGGGCTTCCCTGGTGGCGCAGTGGTTGAGAATCCTCCTGCCAATGCAAGGGACACAGGTTCGAGCCCCGGTCCGGGAAGATCCCACATGCCGCGGAGCAACTAAGCCCCGTGTGCCACAACTACTGCGCCTGCGCTCTACAGCCCGCAAGCCACAACTACTGAAGCCCGCGCGCCTAGAGCCCGTGCTCCGCAACAAGAGAAGCCACTGCAATGAGAAGCCCGCGCACCGCAACGAGGAGTAGCCCCCGCTCGCTGCAACTAGAGAAAGCCCGCACGCAGCAGCGAAGACCCAACGCAGCCATAAATAAATAAATAAATTTTTATTTTTTAAATGAAGTTCCAGTCATGTCACTTCCTGAGTGAAACACTCTCCTTCCCACCTAGAGAAGCTAGATCATCAGCCCAGGTTTGTGGGCTGTCAGTTCATAAATGTAGGGTGCAGATTGAATAGCAGGAGATGGTGCCCGGTACAGCGGGTGCACTCAGCTAAATTAAACAGTCACGGTGTCCTCGTCGGGTGGGGTAGGAGTTGTAGAACCCTGTGCTTCCCGGAAAAGAGAGCAAGGGACTGACTTTCTCGTGACGGTCATGGGCCCTGGCAGGAACCACGAGGCTCCCGTGGTCACCGAGGGGAAGTAACCCTCACTGCTTCCTTTCCTCCGTGGCAGGAAATCACTGACCAGGACATGTTTGGAGACGTGAGCGCAAGTCTGGTTGTGCCAGAGAAAGTCAAAACTCCGATGAAGTCCAGTAAAACGGACCTCCAGGGCTCCGCCTCTCCCAGGTACTCAGGGTTGGGAGAAGCTCCTGAAGCGTCGGGTAGAATGAGGGAAGCCCGGCAGGAGGGGCTTCAGGAAGAGGGGGCAGGCCATGGCTCTGGGTCAGGGGCTGTTTAACCGCCTCCTTCCACGTCTGTGGCAGCAAAGTGGATGGGGTGCACACCCCCCGGCAGAAGAGGGGCACTCCCCTGAAGGAGCGGCAGCTCTCCAAGCCCCTGAGCGAGAGAACCAACAGCTCCGACAGCGAGCGGTCCCCAGACCTGGGCCACAGCACGCAGGTACCCCGGCCTGTCGGGCGCCCCTGGACCTTGGTCTCTGTTCCGTGGTCTCCTCGGGCGGTTGGGTGAAGAGGAGCGGGGAGTACTTTGAACGACTCTGAATAAAGTCTTGAAGACAGACCTAAAGGGGGAAGTCTAGCATGCTTGTTATTTGCTACTGCTGAGGAATTGGTGGGGAGCCGGGGACGGAGCAGGAGACTCTGGCTCGTTCTGCCCCCATCAGACCTTAGTGGAGACTGTGCGGGGACAGTGGTTCTAGGGACAGCAGCCATCGGCTCTCACGGGACGTCTGCTCTGAGCTCTGATACCCTTAGTGCTGCTGTGGGCCAATTAGAGTGGTTTCAAGCTGGCACGTCAACAGTATTAAAATGTTTTGATTGCGGGCTTCCCTGGTGGCGCAGTGGTTGAGAGTCCGCCTGCCGATGCAGGGGACGCGGGTTCGTGCCCCAGTCCGGGAAGATCCCACATGCCGCGGAGCGGCTGGGCCCGTGAGCTATGGCCGTTGAGCCTGCTCATCCAGAGCCTGTGCTCCGCAGAGGGAGAGGCCCCGGCAGTGAGAGGCCCGTGTACCGCCAAAAAAAAAAAAAATGTTTTGATTGAAAGACCTAAGAGTGGCTGGGGCAGGTGCAGAAGGAACTGGCCCTCGGAGTCCTGTTGCCTCTGAAGGTCAGTCTCTGGGGGAAGGATTCTTCCCCGACAGACCTCCTGCTCTCCTGCGGTCAACAGCAGGCCTGTTCGTTTCCCTGATACCTATCATTGGAAGGGAAGTTTGTGTCCATGTGGCTTCCTGAGCTGACGCTCTTATAGCTGAAAATGAAGCCGGGACTAGAATAGCCCGGTGCCTGGGGCGAGGTATTGTCCTTCTTGTTAATCACTGTTCCTGAAATACCTTTGTTCCCTGTGCCGGGGGCGCTCCCCACACAGCCTCCTTGCTGCTCTCATTAGTTCTCTCCCCGGCGTTGCCCTCGTTTTCCATCCTGTGAGCGCCTGCTTGCTTTCGTCTTCCTCCTCCTCTCCTGCTGCCCTGCTTCATTACCCTTCGGGGTCCTTCCTGCTCTGGCAGGACGGCCAGCTGTGCTCCTGGCACACCAGCCTGTGTTCTGAGGCCTTGCTTTGCTTGTTCTTGATCCCCCTCCTTCCCCTTACGCTCTGGCCGGTGGGATACCGGGTCTGCCGCACAAGTCCCTGGTAGCTGTTCTCTGAACACCCCTGCCCCAGGAATTCTCAGCCACCACCCCACCCCGCCGCTCAAGCTCCCTGGGGACTGCCCAACAGACACTTTTGTCCTTGTAGATTCCAAGAAAGGTGGTATATGACCAACTGAATCAGATCCTGGTGTCGGATGCAGCCCTCCCAGAAAACGTAATCCTTGTGAGCACCGCTGATTGGCAGGGCCAGGTAAAGCATCGAAGGTCGCAGGGCTGTGGAGGAGAGATTCTGGGGAGCGAGAGACAGATTTGGAAGGCAAGGTGTGGGGAAATAGGAAATCACCCCCCTTTCTCAGGCCCCCCTGCCCCGAACTTAGCCCACAGTTCTGGACTCTAGTCCCAGTCCCGTCATCGGGGCTTAAATCACCAATTTTCTGTACCTCGGTTTCCTCAGCTTTAAAAAAACAGCACTGTCACCTGTCATGCCTGCTCCCTGGCCCTGCGTCTCAGTCAGCATACCGGAAAGGAGGTGCCTCGAGGAGCACCAAGTGCTGTAAGACGCCAGAGGCGCCCTGGTTTCCACGAAGTCCGCTCGGCAGGGGCAGAGCAACAGCAGCCCCTGTCCCTCCCACTCCCGTCGTCCACCCGGTTAGATCCCGGGGCCACCTAGCATGTGGGCGACAGAGGCTGCGTTAGAATCTAACGTGCCCTAGGTCTTCCCACATTTTCGCATGAGCCCATCTACGTGGGGTCCGGCCCCACCTTCTCCTCGCTGGCTGCCAGAAGCCTGACCTTTGCCCGGCTGTGATCTGAACGACAGAGGCTGGGGCCCTGCAGCTCGGTCTGGGCCTCGCTGCCCTCTTGGCCTGTGGGGAGGCAGTGCCCCTGCTGCGTGGCCTCACCTGTGTCCCTGCTCCTTTCCCTCCCCCACCCCACACAGTACGTGGCAGAGCTGCTCCAGGACCAGCGGAAGCCCGTCGTGTGCACGTGCTCCACGGTGGAGGTCCAGGCCGTGCTGTCCGCCCTGCTCACCCGTATCCAGCGCTAGTAAGGGCTCGGCTCTTCTCCTGCCCTTTGGGGTTCCCTCTGACCTCATCCTCCCACCCTGATTTCTAAGCAGTGAGAGGACCTCCTGGCCTTATCAGACCAAGAATTCGTAATTGGTACCTGGTTAGGCAGCGTCAGACCGCGGTGTTCTGATGCCCCTGCTGGCCCCAGAGGGTTGGGATGAAAATGTCACCTTCCTGCCCGCCTGCCTCCCCGCCTGGCCCCCTGCCACACCTTGAGTTGCCTCGTCCTCTTCTTAAGCCCATGACAAAGAAGGCCGGGCAGAGAGAGCCCAGGGTTTTACAAGACCTTTTACTCCCGTCCCTCCGACTCCCCAGAGTCGGGGCCTTCCCTCCGTGGGAAAGAGCTGCGGGCGTTCCCGGGTGTCTGGGCTCATGCCCACCGCCAACCCCAGGGCGCTGCTGAGTTGTCTCCCCGTGAGCCTCAGCCAGTTCTGCATTCCTTCTAGACAGTTCCCTGTCCTCTCTGATCCTGGGTTTCTCTCTGTTTGCAAAAGCGCTGTGGTTTATTGCCTCTCCCTGTATTATTTTGTTTATTGGTTTGCTTTTTCCCGTGGGCTGTTGAGATCAAGTGAAGTCTGAGCTTGGGGCCTTCCTCTGAGCAGGAAGCAGGCCCACCTGACCTGGCCGTGCCGCTCCCCTTGCTTCCCAGCTGCAACTGCAACTCCTCCATGCCGAGGCCGGTGAAGGTGGCAGCGGTGGGCGGCCAGAGCTACCTGAGCTCCATCCTCCGCTTCTTCGTCAAGTCGCTGGCCAGCAAGACCTCCGACTGGCTGGGCTACATGCGCTTTCTCATCATTCCCCTCGGTAGAGGCTCAGCAGGGCCCACTCCTGAAGCGGGGTGGTGGCGCTGGGTCCCGGGAAGTGACGGGCAGGGAGACCGAAGGCTGGGCCATCATTCACCCCCTCACCAGCTCTCCTTGTCTGGTTTCCACCTACCAGGTTCTCACCCGGTGGCCAAGTACTTGGGCTCCGTCGACAGTAGGTATAGCAGTACCTTCCTTGATCCTGGCTGGAGAGATCTGTTCAACCGCTCAGAGCCCCCGGTGTCAGGTAACGGCCCCCTAGTAAGGGACCAAGACAGAATGCGGCCTGATTTCCGGAGAGCCAGGGGCAAGGGGCGGGCTGCTTCCCCTCCCTGGGGCGTGTTCATCTTTTTCAGTACTTATTAAAAGGAGGCCTATTAAGCGCAGCCCTTCCACTCTGGATGTGTTTAGTCTGCCATTTGCTCTGCACAGCTGGAAATGAGGGCTGTGAGGGTGGCAGGGAATATGAATAACGCTCCTGAAAGACAGAGGAGAGGTGGCAGGGATGGGCGCGCGAGCTTGGGCTCGGCGGGGCCGGGAGGTGGTCAGTGCTCCCACAGGCCTTGCAGGGAGGGCCGGGCAGACGTTGGATGGGGAGGGCAGGCTGCTGCAGTGGTTCCAAGGTTGCTGCAAGCAGAGACGGAGGCGGAGGCGAGCCGAGCCTGCGAGGGGTAGGCTGGGGAGGACAGCACACAGATCGGATGGGAGGACGGCTCTTTGCTCCGTGATTCCTTAGGTTCAAGCCAGCGGGTCTTTAGAGCCCTTTCTCTGCCTCAACTGCTGGGGTCTTCTGGTGGGACTCAGGAAGGGGGCTCTCGGAGAGGGTTTTCGGGCTCACCTGCTGAAATGTCGGCGTTTGTCTCTTGGCTTCTCTGCAGAGCACCTGGACGTGGTCGGGCGGGTGATGCAGTACGTCAGCGGCGCGGGCGTGACACACCAGCTGCCCGTGGCGGAAGCCATGCTGACCTGCAGGCACAAGTTGTAAGTTGACCGAGGGGTTTCTTAAAAACAGGTTGGGTGGGCTAGATAAATCTTAGGTCTCCTTTGCTTTTCCATACTTTCCTTCTCCCCACCCCATTTCCCGTGGTAAGAACTCAAGAGGATACGAGAGTGTTTTTTGCTGCCTCCCCCCAAGGCGTTTCCTTCCTTGCCTGGGCCTCCCCACCCGTGTGGGCGCCCCTCAGTACAGACACGGGAGCAGTGGTAGAGTGTGCAGAATCGGAGCTTTTGCCTCCATTTGGTGGCTCCTCGCGCCATCCTGAGGCGCCATGGGAAGATGTGTAGTGTCTGGACTCCCTTAAAGCCACAGTAAAACATGGAAAGCTTGTGTCCCCATCTCTCCACGAAGTCTCACCCCCCAACTGTAAAGCTTTCCTGTCTCTCCCAACAGCCCTGATGAAGACTCGTATCAGAAGTTTATCCCCTTCATTGGCGTGAGTACAACTCCCCTGTTCTCCATACCCCACCCACCCATTCTCCTGGCCTTTCTGTCCTGCGTGTGCGCGTGCACACGTGCGCGTGCATACACACACACACACACACACACACACACGACTCATCTAGACAGCGGTTCCCATCCAGAGACGATTTTGCCCCCAGGGGACATCTGGCAGTGTCTGGTCTGGAGACAAGTTTGGCTGTCACAGCTGGGGACGGGGGTGGTACCAGCATCTCATGGGTGGAGCCCAGGGACTGGCTAACCATCCTGCAGGGCATAGGACAGGCCCCCAACAGAGAGTGATCCAGCCCCGAGTGTCAGCAGTGCCGAGGTGAGGGAGCCCCAGGCTGGGACAGGCACCGAGCTGTTCCTTTCAGTGTCCTTTCCCGATCAGGGGCCATCCCCAGCTCACCACGGGTATCTCATGTTTATTACACCAGGCGCTGAACTTGGTGCCGTGGCCTAGGGAGTGCTGTCCAGGGCATTGGTTCTATAGGCTCCAGGGAAAAGAAAGCTGCCTCGGGGATAACGATAGATGATATTCGTAGAAGTCCGAGGAGTCGGTAGCCTTCAGAGTCATGTGGACACCAAGCGGAAGAGGCTCTTTCCTCCTCCTGCTTAGTCAAGGCAGAGTCTCTACACGAGCAGATCTTGAACATAAAAGGAAAACCTCTTGGGTGTCTTTGGTGTCAGGTGGTACCGGCCTTTGCTGAATTTGGCAGTAGCTAGGCCACGAGGCAGAGACCGACCAAGAGAGGGAGCCCAGAGGGGACAGAGCCGATGCCCTCCCAGGGCCAAAGCACGACACAGATGCATGGCTGAGAACTCTGATTTCCATTTGCAAGACGATTGAGTTTCTCTTCCAAACCAGCTGGTATCTTTTCCTACAGTCTCCCTGAGGATCCTCCCAGCTTCTAGGGGAGATGGGGCATGTGCGGGTGAGGGGCCCAGCTCCCACTGTCCCTGTTCTCTGTTCGTCCCAGATCCTGGGCATCTCGAGAGGTCTTGGGAGAGGCCTGATCCTGGGGAGATCCTCCATAAAGCCTCCTGTCTGCCTGGTCCAGTCAGTCCCCATTAGCCATCGGGGCTGCTCCCATAGCCCCGCCGGAGGCCCGGGGCCGTGGCCCGTAGCCGAGGCTTGGCAGTCTGACCCACATCTTTGCGGAGCTGTGGGATCTTCATGGAGCTGGGGGTCACTGCCTACTCCAGCCTCACAGCAAGACAGAGGGATAGAAAAAATTAAAAATTCAAACAAACAAAGGAGCTGGCAGCCTCGTGCAATGCCAGAGGAGCGAGGGGAGGGGAGTCGTGTCCAGAAGTTCAGGGTATCGATGTGTTACTTTCTGGGAATTAAAATCAGGATGTGTATAGGATCGGGAACAAATTTCAGTGAATGGCAGCGTTGTGCTCTGATCTGCGTGTGACCCCTGCCCCCTGCTGTCCCGGGGCCCAGCTTCCATGACCTCCCCGCCCTGCTGCGCCTCTGCCGGCTGCTGGGATTCACCTGTCACCTCAGGCCCCAGCCCTGACCTTCATGGTCTGTCTCTAGCTGTGCCCTTTGCTGGCCACTGGAGGGCCCCCTTCTGTCCTTCCCAGAATTCTCTCAGAGGAATCTAAAATTCTCTGGGGAGCTGAAATGGACACCACTGCCTTGCGGGGAGGGAGCGGGCGGTACTGGGGAATCCCCTCCTCATTGGTGTTCCTCCAGATTCCAGGAAGTCTGGAAAGGAGGGGCCTGCTCCCAGCATGTCAGCGTGTTCCAGCTGTTCGCTGGGCCTGGTGCAGCACACGCACCCCCCCCC